CTTTCCTCACGTGCTGGTGTGTGTGTGCTACAGGTGGCGGGAGACTTCACGCACGAGGCCCTGCCCCACCTGGCCACCTTCGGGAGGGTGGCGCTCTGTGGTGCCATAGCCTCCTACAACGACATCTCCAGGGACAAGGCCATCCGCCACGCTAACAGTACGTCTTCCCTCGTGTGTGTTGTATTGATGTACACATTGTCTTGGTGTGTGTGTGTGTTGATGTACACATTGTAGTGGTTTGTGTGTGTGTTGATGTACACATTGTAGTGGTGTGTGTGTGTGTTGATGTACACATTGTAGTGGTGTGTGTGTGTTGATGTACACATTGTAGTGGTTTGTGTGTGTGTTGATGTACACATTGTCTTGGTGTGTGTGTGTGTGTTGATGTACACATTGTAGTGGTGTGTGTGTGTGTTGATGTACACATTGTAGTGGTGTGTGTGTGTGTTGATGTACACATTGTAGTGGTGTATGTGTGTGTTGATGTACACATTGTAGTGGTGTGTATATGTATTGATGTACACATGCTTGTCTTAGCATGTATATGTATTGATGTACACATACTAAGACGCCTCTAGCTTCTTACACACAATACAATAACAACAATTATGAAGACTAATGGAGTTCAACCTCACTTCATTGGAAGAGAGAAGAAATAGGGAAGAAATGATCAGCACATACAAAATACTGACGGGAATACACAAGACATACAAGGGGTACAGTTTGACACGGGCACTATATACACGCACAAGGGAACATAGATGAAGTAACAAAAGACATTAGAAATGATTTTCAGTGAAGAGTTGGAATGTGACAAGATGTGAAGTGGTGGAGCTCCACACACACACAGCTTCAAGTGTCTATATGTTAGAACCTAGAGTCAATAGGTAGCCGGGAGTTACTCAACTGTTGTGGGTTGCATCCTGGGGGCAGGTCAACATCCGTCTTAGAGATACTATACGACATGTCCAGGTAGTGGCTTTCTGTCCCCGACAACGAGAATTATAACACAATATTAATTGTTAAAACATAGTTGCTTTGAGCGCCTATAACATTTGATGCAAGCAATTGAGATAAATTGTTAACATGTTGTACTGTGCAGGTCCTTACGATGCGTCGTTGATCATCACCAAGCAATTACGAATTGAAGGGTTCATGGTGACTCGCTGGATGTCCCGCTGGATGGAAGGTCTCAACCAGATGAAACAATGGGTCCTTGAGGTAGCTAGCAACCATCAACCATCTTCCTCTCATTCCCTCATGCATATATTCACTTGTTATTCTTCTCTATTCTGACAAATAAGAGATATATTATACATAATATATATGGTGTTCTTATAACAGGGGAAGCTGCAGTACAAGGAGACCATTACTAAAGGGTTCGAACACATGCCTGAAGCCTTCATTGGTCTCTTCCACGGAGACAACATTGGCAAGGCCATTGTTGCCGTCTAAGAGCACCTAGGACGATGACAAGAACACACAGGACACTGCAGAGGTCCATCTTGGCCATTTTTAACAGGGGGATCATGGCGGGACAGAATTATTTATTCCAGTTTCAGAACAAAAATGTATCTACATGAGTGTCCCAGTTTAACGTTTTCTGTGACTAATTTGACATGTTTTCTATGATCTATTATAAGAAAAAAGTTTGCGATTAATTTAATACAGGAATTTGTTCCATGTGTCTTCTGTGGGCCTTGTTTTAGCGTACTTAGTAAGGAGTATCAATAATATTGGGTATTAATTAACACTTTTCATTGTTTACATCACATAAAAATGGACAAAGCATTTAGGTGAGCCACAGCCCGGCCTTGTAAAGTGGTGACAATAAATGGTTTATACTCTATGAGGCGAACCCCGCTACTCTCTAGATATACACTCAGAGTTAACTTTAGTCCTGGTCTATGTTCAGCCATAAAGTATACTTGGTCAGTATCCTTGCTGGCTGCTCAGTAAACAGAGGTTGCTGAGGTTGATGTTGTTAAGTCAACAAACTTACTAACCTTACAAGTTTAGAATGATTCGAACACCTACAGAAAGTTTTATATTTTAACACCCTTCTATACTGTAAATATTAATAGATTTAAATATTGCACCACAACATGGCGACCTGTGTGAACAAGGGAACTGTTGCTGCTGAAATCCTAACAAAGTACGGGAAATTTTGGCTAAGTTTTTTCTCTTGGGTAATTGTTTTTTATGGGCCAAATAACCAAAGTATTCAGAGAAAATATTCGACAGCAGAATATAATTCGTGTTTGTGAGTATTGGATTAACTTGTATGTGTAAGATGATGTGAAGGCTATGGGACAACCAGGCAGAGATGATGGGCTCTGTACAATATATAGAACAAAGTTTGTACCAATGTCAACAAGACATTTAATTAAAGAATAATATCGAAACTGTGTATGAATATCCCACAAGAGTATTGTCGCAGAGTTAACCCCCCCCCCCCACCATTCAGGGTATTCCCTATGTTATTAACATGCACCTCTACACCTTAACATTCAGAGTATTCCTATGTTATTAACATGCACCTCTACACCTTAACATTCAGGGTATTCCCTATGTTATTAACATGCACCTCTACACCTTAACATTCAGAGTATTCCTTATGTTACCACCACAACCTATTGACTCATTTGTTAGATTGTAACAACCACATATAATTTTAACCATTTATAATCGCCAGTTTAGACCAATTGATTGATGATAAAGATTAAGCCACACAAAAGGTGGCACGGGCATGAATAGCCCGTATGAGTTTAGACCTGCCAAAACGTCAATATATATATATATATATATATATATATATATATATATATATATATATATATATATATATATATATATATATGTCGTACCTAGTAGCCAGAACGCACTTCTCAGCCTACTATGCAAGGCCCGATTTGCCTAATAAGCCAAGTTTCATGAATTAATATTTTTTCTCTATTTTTTTTCTTATGAAATGATAAAGCTACCCATTTCATTATGTATGAGGTCAATTCTTTTTATTGGAGTTAAAATTAACGTAGATATATGACCGAACCTAACCAATCCTACCTAACCTAACCTAACCTATCTTTATAGGTTAGGTTAGGTTAGGTAGCCGAAAAAGTTAGGTTAGGTTAGGTTAGGTTAGGTAGGTTAGGTAGTCGAAAAAACAATTAATTCATGAAAACTTGGCTTATTAGGCAAATCGGGCCATGTATAGTAGGCTGAGAAGTGCTTTCTGGCTACTAGGTACGACATTATATATATATATATATATATATATATATATATATATATATATATATATATATATATATATATATATATATATATATATATATATATATATTTCATCCATCAGCGCCAACTAATGTTAGAATTGAATACTGTGTCATATATTAAATCTTATGTTTGTAACAAATTACTATTTTCTTTAATTAAAACAGTGTTATTAAGCTTACCAGTAATTTTTATTTATAATTATTTTATCATAAATTGTTTATGACTTCTTACTACATAAGTCACTGTAGAACTTTTAACATAGATTTCAGTAATATATTTTTTCTTAAATATTTAGTTATACAAATAAACGTGTCTAGGTCGGTTCAATAGTGTTGAAAGTAATTACTAGTGGGGTTCTGTTGTGTGTGTAATACAAATCTAGTCTATCGCTGAGACTGGTAGCTGTCAACGAAGGGGACGCAGATGGGATTAAGACGCTGCTCCACGGTCACCAGGAGGTAAGGCTAGCTATGTAAGTTAGATTACGAGTACGTTACATGAGACTCCTTGTTCTCCCGCCTTGCACATGGCCGCCGTGTGTCCGTCCAGGCAACGTTACCAAGTCAACAAGTTCTCCACACATCTGGTCATCACATCTCACACACCAGGGGTCTGGTAGCTGAGTGGACAGCGCCTCTATTTGTAAACCTTTTTCATTCATAACAGGAGTTTGGCGGGCGCACGAAATAGCTTTTGGGTCATTGTTTGAAGGACGGTCTGTTACACACGACTCATAACTGATGACGTCTGAACGCTTCCGGAGCAAGTGCATTGCTCACGTCCTCTCTTCAAAACCATAATTCTATAAACAGCCCGTCCGTCCTCCAGCAACCCGTTCTCACACCAGGCTGTTTAAAGCAGCGGCCGTCCTTCCCAGACGCATTCACCAATTTTAACATACTGTATATTAAAAGTTGGTCTTTTCTCATATATAAATTAATATTCTTATTCATAAAAATTGTATGTATAATTTGGCGTAGGTTAGGTTAGGTGTTTAGGCTCTGTTTGTAAATATTTGTATTTATAAGTTCGTGGGTGAAGCATTTATAGAATTGTGGTTCGAACAGAGGACGTGAGCGTAGCACTTGTTCCGGAAGTGTTCGGACGTCATCACTTGTGAGTCGTGTGTAAACCGTTTTTCATTCCTAAACAGTGGGTTTGGCGGCTGGATTAAAGAGCTTGGATCTTTATATGCGAGAACGGGTTACCTCCAGACAGACCCAAAAGTGATTCCATGCACCCGCCAAACCCCTTGTTTATGAATGAAAAACGGTTTACACATGAATCACAACTGATTTCGTTCGAACACTTCCGGAACAAGTGCTTCACTGACGAATTTTATTCGAACCACAACGCTATAAATGCTTCATCCACGTACTACATACAAATAATCGCCAACAGAACCTAAACACCAAACCTATGCATATATATGCACAATATGCTAATATATTATATTTACTTATATTTGAGAAAATTCGCATTTTGAATGAACAGCATGTAAAAATTTATGAATGCGTCTGTGGGGTCGACCACTGGGTGTAATGGACTTGAGTCGAGGACGGGTTGCTATAAATGCTTCACCCACGAACTTCAAATACAAATAATCACCAACGGAACCTAAACACCTAATCTAACCTACGCCTAACTAAACATAAATTTGTTATGTATAATATTAATTTATATACGAGAAAAAAATTAATACACAGTATGTTAAAATTGATGAATGCGTCTGGGGAGGGCGGCCGCTGCTTTAAACAGCCTAGTGTGAGGACGGGTTGAAATACTTCAGCCACGAACTTCAAAATACAAATAATCGCGTACAGAACTTAAACACCTAACCCAACCAATGCCTAAATATGCACAGTATGTTAGTATAAAATATTAATTTCTATTTGTGAAAAATCCTATTTTGAATGAATAACATGTTAAAATTGATAAATGCGTCGTTGAGGGTCGACCGCTGGATGGAATGGACTGGGTCTGAGGACGGGTTGCAGAAATTATTTGGACGAGTTTTCTATCATCTAATGTACTTGTTCACCTAGCAGTAAATAGATACCCGTGAGTTAGTAAGTGTATTGTCGAACTGCATCCTCAGGAGGGTTAGTAGCTCGACCTTCGGAGGAACACCTCGATATGAACCTACTCTGTATATATTCACTGGCTTCCTGTCCCCCAGTTAGTTTAGTTCATTTATTATGCACCCCATACCCATCTTGTGGGCAGTAGTGGAAAGGGTTACAGAGGCACATAATGGGCTCAGGGACTGAACCCCACAATTCATTTAGGTAAGCAAGTTACAATCTTGATGAGCTAGTTACAAAATTCAGTATAAGTCGTCACATCAACAATGGGTTCGAGATCGACCACAAGTACAGTTTCTAAGTTAAGCAACTGACATATTTTTTTTTTTTTTTTTTTTTTTTTTTTTTTTTTTTTTTTTTTTTTTTTTTTTTTTTTTTTTTTTTTTTTTAGATATATACAAGAGTTGTTACATTCTTGTACAGCCACTAGTACGCGTGGCGTTTCGGGCAAGTCCTTAATCCTATGGTCCCTGGAATACGATCCCCTGCCGCGAAGAATCGTTTTTTCATCCAAGTACACATTTTACTGTTGCGTTAAACAGAGGCTACAGTTAAGGAATTGCGCCCAGTAAATCCTCCCCGGCCAGGATACGAACCCATGACATAGCGCTCGCGGAACGCCAGGCGAGTGTCTTACCACTACACCACGGAGACTGTTAAATATGGATATGGTTAATTGTAGACGGATATGTTAATTGTAGAATAACTCGGTTACTTCTAACAGTCTAAGTCGAGCAGTAGTAACATCTAGAAGTCTGCTGATTTTATTGGATGAACCATAGATGTGTGGCTCCTCTTGCATGATAGCATGATGATAGATGGTGTTACTCCCAACACAATAATTTGTTATCGTATTTTTGCTTAGAATATTAGAGTCAGGCCTCTTAAATTTTGTTTTCTATATTCTCATAATAATAGAAAATGGTGTTCAGGGTAAGTTTTTGTGAGTAACTACTTTGTAATTTGTTTATTATAACTCGCTCATTCACCCCCTTTTACCCTCCCCCCCCCCTAATCCACTCTCTCTCTCTCCCGCAAACACACATACACAGTTAAAGATACTCCAGAAGTTCCATTCTCTCACACCTGGAATGATTTATGTCATAGCCCGAAACGCTCTGCGTATTAGTGGCTTTAGGTATTGTATATACTAGGCTCTATCTATAAATCCACCATTATGTTTGTAAATCAACTATATATGTACTTTTCCTGAATAAAAATTTATTTATTTATTACTCTGCGTTGAACTCTTTCCAGACTAGTTATATATCCTTCTGAAGACGTCTCCTTTTTTATCATCAATTATAACTTGGTTAGTCTCATCTTTATAGGGCTCTTCCAAATCTTTTGCCCATACTTTTCGTATGTAGGCATAAAAACAACTTGGATCTTTCTTCATATTTTGAACAAGTTTTCTTTCATAGTTCCTTTTGTCTGATTAGATTTCCTATGCAACTGAATTTAATGCTCTTTAATGTATCTTTCATAGTTTATGTGGTTCCTTGTGGACTGATTCTTCCTCCAGAAGTTTTGTGTTGTTGTTACACCTCGTTTACTGCCCCTGTCATTCATCTAGATCTTTTACATTTCCTGCTCCTTCTTGGTACGAATTTTTAAACAAGTTCAGCAATGAATGTTTTTAAATATTCCCATGAAGCTTCCCTGTCCTGATCTCTAACTCCTTCCATGAGGTATCTTGCAATTTCTCTCACATTGTGATAGTTTCCTCTAAGGTAGTTTAGAGTATCATCGTGCTGGCTTTTCATAGGGGAATTTTCTAATTCAAATTCAAATGTTTATTCAAGTACAAATACGTACATAGAGGATAAGTTACAAGCATAATGTTGGATTTAGAGATAGAGGTAGTACATACAATACCTAAAGCCACTAGTACGCACAGCGTTTCGGGCAAAGTGTGGGGAAAACACTTAGACTAAAAGTTAATACTAATTGATATTAAAGTATAAATTATATATTGTGTTGAAAAAGGAAAAAAGGGGGGACGGAAACATGGCAGAAATCAGCACCATCAGCAATTGTAC